TTAAATGTCTTCATTCCGAATGAATTTGAGAGTGCACGGCACTGGTTAAAACTGTCTTGCATAGTATATATGGTCTCCTTCATGAACGTGGAACTAACCAAACCTTGCTCTTTCACTCAGATATTGGCAAATTGCTGCTAGGAACTGGATATATTAAGCCAAGTCGAGTCAAACTTAAATTCAGCCACATCATCGATACTTTATAAAGTCGGACACATGGTTCTGAGGAGTTCACATAGCCGAGTATCACATGCTAGTCTATCTTTTGTCTAATGGACGAACTTCTCTATATAGTCTCCGAGAAAAGGTGTGAACAATCAGGTGGATAGCCACATCGATTGAATATTTGCAGCAAGTCAGGATGCTGACAGTGGATGTCACCACATACCTAAATCGCTAAAATTATTAGTCTTATTTCTAATATGCTGATTTTTTCAACCTTTAAGACATACACTGGTAAATTGCATTTTTAGGCGATGAAGAAAATAATTCCTCCGATTCTGTGACAAGACTTTTGAACACTAACACTCACATTAATGGTGACGTAAATTATTTATAATGCATAGAAAATATAATAGTGAAGTTTTTTGACTAAAAAGGCTACGAAAGAACTCAAAATTTACTCGCGGGAGCTTCGATTGTAAGTATGGTATCCTGCTTGAGTATAGTTAGTGTATATTGTTCTGCTGCTTCACAAATGAGATCTTTCGTACAGGTGTATGTTAGCGAAGGATACCTTGGATCATTAATTGTAATTAAGATATTAAATACCCACTAGTTATACTAGAACCACAAAACTTCGACTGCGTAAATTTTTCATTGTGTTTTATACTTCCGGAAAGAAGGGTTGGCTACAGCAGAGAAGGTGATGTTGGCCATCCTGGACACAATGCTGGTTTGACTCCACTCAGGCTCATCAAGTTTTTCATGCCTCAGAGCTACGAAATTTCACATATTTTTTATTTGGGAAAAGCTCACCACATGCTGTCCAAGTGAGAACGCTCTAGCTCTTCTATGTGAGGACTCGAAAAAGAATCGACTCGACTAGCATCGAGCAGTATTCATGACGAAAACGAAATAAATACATGCACACAGCATATTTTAAGCTTTTCATGAGGTATATTATGAAAACTAATTTTTTATTCAAGCAGCAACCGAATACACACCCAAAGAAGGTGAAAGGCTTTCGTGTAAAGTGGATACGAGGAAATGATTAAGTTGGAAAAAGAAATGCTAGAATCCATACAGCAAATGCGACTTGCTCTCGGGCAACAACTATTTCTCCCGGTGGGCTGCTCATAAATGTGAATGTTCTAAGTGAGCTATATTCACTAGCTATTACAAGTATTGCTAATTTGATTCCCTACCTACATCAAATATCATTTGCGTTATCGAAGAAAGTTCTAAACATAATCTCAATTCAAGTGATCAACATTTTAACCGTACCAGTGGCAATATTTATTTTTCATGTTGATTGTGTGACAAGGTCAGTTTAAAGGGCAAAAATTTCTTCAAAACATTTTCCATGGTGCAGTCAATCTGCGATCAACTGTATGAAACAGAAAAATGTCAGTATCCCCACCATGGAGGGGCACTGCCTGGTTAGATGCGGCAACACGTGCCGCGCCCCATGGTGGCGGATGGGAGAAGCAAATGCGTAAAACAAAAGCGACTTTACGATTTTCTGAAAAGCACATCAATTTAGTTAATGGGCTCCTGTTTTTACACTCCGCTTTGACGTACCCTTTTCCAACTAGTTGACTTAACTGAGAGTCTGCTGTCAAGTGGTTATGAAATAATGGGTCTTTGCAAATGTGACTACTATATTTGCATTGTTGAATTTCAAGTAGTAAAGCAATAAAAATAAGGTTAAATATACGGACAGCAGAAGATTTGATTCCGCTCATACTTTTGTATCAGTTACTACATGAGAGACTGTTAAAAGTTGCGTTCAGTGAATAGGCTTCTGTCTACCTCTACGTGAGACGAACAAGATATCCATGAGTACGAAGTGCCAAAATTTATAGCTTAACAAGCTCGTACGTTGAAGCACAATGAAGAAACGAGCTTTATTCGGATGACTCCGAGGCAGTCTCCAATATCGCAGTACGGCGAGAATAAAGTCGAAGCTTTCCACGTGGGCATAGGAAAGTTCCACATTGTTCGTGGTCATTATTGGAAATTTCAACACTGAAACTGATACTGGAAGATCACCTGAAGAACATCACTTAGGAACCCAAGGAATGAAAATCAACGAACAGGTTGAGATTATGTATGAGTTTGTCATGGCGCCCAAAACCATCCATTCTAACATGATTTCAGGTTTTTTACTCGTAAATGTGGACGTCGCAGTACATGTCTCTTCCTTGTGAATAATCTATCTTCAGCTAACCAGAAATTACCAGTCTAGAACATCAAAAATACAGCGAACGCAAAACAGTAGTGGATTAACATCCAGTAAGGCTTAGGAATTCGGTTCCGTGGATGTTGATGTAGGGTGATATGAATTCTCTTGGCAAGAAGATTTCTTCTACAGTACAAAAACACACAGCTCGCATAAAACGTAGGTGCTTAGCGACATACTTTTAACTTTTCACGATTTCTCTTGTTTTCGCTGTGGTCTTCAATATTTATGTGGGCTCCAAACACTAAGACCAAGCATGAGAGACAATAAACTATTCGTGTATTTTTGTTAAGCGAATATGTCTTTGCACTCACTGTTCCCTTAAATTTCCATAGCACTCTGAAAATCATGTACGATGAAGTCGATTTGAGTAATAGCTATAATGAAACTTTTGAAGGTCTTCACATAATTAAAGATGTCTAAGTTACGATTTCCTCCATCAATCAAGACAAATTGAGTCGCTCAACTAATTTCCCACTTGCTTCCCCCTGAAACTCTATTGTTGCTGTGCAGAGTATTCGAGATTTGTTTTCGTTTCCATGATGAATTTTAGTCTCAGACGAAATGATTCTGATTTTCCTTTATGATTAACCCACACTCAAGCCTCGTAAAAATAACTGTCTGCTACGATCTCTCCATGATAGATAGAAAGCAGGTTCTTTCTTTTCTTTTGGTCCCTTCAAGGCGCAGAACATTAAGTTTTTAGGTTGAGTAACAAATTTACCGAAACCTGCAGAAATTTTCATTTTCAGTCAGCTTGGCGAGTGCTTTGTCACAAATTCAAAGATCATTTTCAACCTGAGTCTCTACCGATACAGAAACAGTCATAGAAATGCTTAACGTGTCCAAAGAAATGTACCTTTCCATTTCAAACATGACGATTCCAAGATCTTCGATAACTAAAAACGGTTGCAAAGTGAGTGATTTTGCCTTTTACGGTGTCAGCAATCCTCTCACTGCCTTGCTTTTCAGCGATTTAATCAGGAAGTTATGAATTTCCTTGTGAAAGCACACAAATAGTTAATCACAACCCCTCAAAGAGCGGTGCGTTTTTGAAAAAAAAATTCACACTTAGTTAACCGACCAACTTTGCATCATCAATAATACATGATTAATCTCCCCTATCGTTTCCTATCCTCAGCAAAACGATAACGATGTTCCTCCATGTCAAATAGATCTACACGGTGTGCTCATTTATTACTCTGAATAGAAAGATAATTTTGCGCTAAATACTGCGATATTTGCATTCGAACGCATCAAAGAGTGTATTTGTGCCATGATCACGTCCGACACAACTCGTGGTCACCTTTAATCGGAAATAGTCGATGTGAAGAGCTCAAATTTTAATATGCCTGATAATCCTTTTTTGAGCCACGCATGTCAATGGTCTGTCAAGAAGGGCTGACTTATAGAGCCCGATACACGTGTTTCGATCTTGCGATCTCGTCAGTCGGGCAGCTACCCTTTCTGGTCTTTTGCCAATCCTGTGTGGGTGCTTCAGTCCCCTCACTAAGAGTTAGCGACGACGAACGTTTTACATTCTATGCCCAGTAAAATTCTCACCGAACACAGAGTGTTGTACACTCGATTGCTCTTGGTTAGTATATTCAATATATCATATCTTTCGTTTCGAGTGTTTTCTTAAAACCATAGCTCAAATTTCAGTATGACTGAAAATCATTTTTGATAGGTGAGAATTTCACTGGACATAGAGTGTTGAACGTTCGTCGTCGCTAACTCTTGGTGTGGGACTGGAGCACCCACAAAGATTAGCAAAAGACGAGAAAGGGTAACTGCCCAACCGACGTGATCGCAAGATCGAAACACGTGTATCGGGCTCTATAAGTCAGCTCTCATTCACAGACCACTGACATGCGTGGCTCAAAAAATGATTATCAGGCATATTGAAATCTTATTGATATCCCATCACTGATTATAGAGAAAGCGCCTAGAGCGAGAAGTGAGCAACGCAGCACAAATCCATGACCATAGTTCTGAGTAGCACTGTTTAGACTCACTTCAGACATCTTTGAGAAGTGCAAACTCTTCTAATTACGAACTTCTAATGATACCGTTCAAGTTGAATAGTGTACGTAACGTTTTTCCTTTACATTGGGCTTTCGTTGCGCAGATGGATCGCGCAAAGAACATCAATCTTAAGATCGAGGTCCAATTCAAGATCACCACCTATCCTTGCCATGAGGGCAAAAAGGGGAAAAATCTTCAAAAGGGAAAATTGGCAAAAGTCATAATGTTTCTGTACGGCAAAATATCCGACGCTTATTGTTATGGTGACAAGGTAAGCAACATGACTCAGCATCTACTCAAGAGTTTCTGAAGGCAATGCCTAACTGCTCGACAGAAGTGATTCTTACCTCAGCAGATTAAGAGATTTTAGTTTTTGAAGACTTCGCTTAAATAACGACTATTGTTGTCCTTCAAAAAATGTGAAAACAGCTGGTTTACTGTTGAATCAGTCTATATGGCATATGAATAAATATGGTAACTTTCAAATTTTCCAGTATTCTATTGTATTTTTTCGCAGTACTATGGCCTTTCACATATACCTGAAGGATTAAGTGGTGAGCAAAAATACGGCCTCAGGCGGGAACCGAACTCGCGTTTCATCCTACCCGGGGACGCGTGCTCTACCACAACACCACAGCGGCCATTTGGCCAAGCACTCTTAGGAATATATGGTGATCACCGCCCGAGACTTCAGAGTGGTTGCCAAGGCTAGAATTTTGCCGAACATCACTAATCACTTTGCTAAGCCTCTAGGAGCAATAACTATGAATTTAAAAGCTGTTATTGAGCCTCTCAGATTTTCTGGCCCAAATTCAATTTTTTTACCACATGTTATGGGTCTTCGTGTTTCACTTAGCGCATTAACGACTGTATGGACTTTATCACTACTCACATAGGCATAGTAATCTTCATTTCTTGAGACCAATTTTGAAGCTTATTAAGCTAATTTTACCTACTGAACGCCGATTTTAGAAAAATACTTCGCCTTGCTAAAACGATTTTTGACTACTATATCAGTACTGTATTCAATGCACTAAGAAACCATGCTTTGAATAGTTTATATTACAAACAGAGATGCGCTTTTGTGGATTGAGAAAAGCTTGTAATAGACATTTCAACACATGCAAGAGGAATGCTAGGCTTGTTTGCTTGTGTCGTGATCAATCGGTGATTCTGTGTGTATTCAAATCAGTTTTCACATTGCTCAATAATATGATGAATAGTTCGAAATTCTATGCCCCGAAATTGCATTGTGTTAATATTATGACGATGGTTACACACCGTGCTCAAAAGTGCACTTATGCGCTATGAGATGTGTTTAGATCCCAAGATCATTTTACAAAAAATTCTCAAGGAGAATACACGTACAAAACACAAAAATACAGACTACCGCTCAGCTGTAGTTTGTCCGAAGGAAAAATTCACTCATTCAATCACCTTGAGATTTGATTTCCTAAGGCTTTCGCCAACCGTTCTTGATCTCAACTTCATCATCTGCAGAAGCGCATGAATGTCAAGAAGCAGCGTGTCCTCACAGTACGAAATGTGCCTCAAACACAAGCGATCACTTTATTGTCTACGTCTAAAAAATTAACAAAACTTTGATAAGGCTAGAGCATAGAATTCTCGGCGTTGATCAATCCATGAGAGGTACACCATGCATTTGTCTTCATAATCTAACCTCGTTTGAGGTGATTGAATGCATATCTGCCCTCTCGGAGTGGCTTCTCGCTGTATCGAGTCACTGCTGCCTATGCTCCCAGACAAGTCTGGGATAAGTGTGGTAGCAAATTACCCATCGCGAAGGGATGGATGGCTTGGTGAGCCATGAGCGCGAAATCGAACCACTGACGTCGCGACCTTCTATTTACTACAGCAATAAATTTGTTCTCCTTTGAGTTAATGCGGCGTCGTGCAGAAAAAGAAACTTCTTTTGAAACCATGAAAAGGTAACACTGAAAAGCATTTTACTACCAAGTACTTTTTTGCTCATAGGATATAATGCCGAGATTAGACACTAATTCACCTGATTTCTCAGATTAGTTTATTTTCCAGAGACACGCATGATCATGTAATCTCCTTGCAACCGGTATCTCTCGTCAAATGGAAGACACATTAGAGCTGATGACCTCTTGAAAAACCTATTTATAGTGTGGCTGAAATCTAGTTGCTGTTTTTCAGTGCTTCTTGCAGACTGTAAATGTACTGGAGAAGTATCGAGTTAAATACTAATGCGCTCTTATCTACGCTCTGAAATAGAGTATGATGCAAAATGAATTAAAAGATGTTCAGTAAACGTCCAGTCTTGCAAACAGCTACGCCCATGTTTGGGCGCGCCAAATTCATGCGATAGAGTGATTTGTCCTTGAGCAATTCAATATTATTTGAATATAGGTTGATAGTCACTGATGGTTGATTTTCTTATTACCATGAACAAAGCTGTTTTTACATCCTTTATTATGCTGAAGAATGTACAAAGAAATAAATTTAGAAGTGGAAGATATTGAAAATGGGTGATAAAGAGACGTAAGCGGGTAACTAATAATAAGAAAAATATTGCGTCGCTAATCAAAGTGGCGCGATTATGAGTCATACATCTTCACCGTCTTGCAAAGACACCTTTTTGGTACCACGTAATCGGGTAACACGGAAACTAATCTTTTTCTTGTACCACGTTTCGCATATTCACCGTTTTCTGAAAAGGGGTACCTGTGAATAGTTGGGCTGGCTCTTTTTTGCGGACGTTAGCCATGATCATAAGTTGCTATTTGGTTTCTTGAAAGACGTCCAGATTGCTCGCGGGCAGTTCTTGTTTTCGCACCTTTCAGTGATGTTCAGCATTTGTTTGCACTTTTCCTAGTACTCAAAGTTCTTGTGCTCCTGCGCAACGAAAAGGTTCCCTAGGGCAATCGGTGCCAAATAAAGCTCTATTAGGTTTCTTAAAGCTGAAATTACACCTCGAGAATGTCATACTATTCAATGATGTACAGATGGCTCGATCCACCATAGCTTTAAAAGCTGGATAAAACGATGACGTCATGAAATTACTTCTCCTTTTGTGAAAGGTCCACGAGATCGGGCGGCTCAACGGCTACGTCCTGAATAAACGAACAGAAAGGATGTGATCTCTGTGCACGAAAATGCGAGGGAACAAATCATACCATCGATACTGTGAAGGTTGAACCAGTTGGCCTATAGAATCTTCTTTCCTCCACGACTCTTACATGACCTCCCACCTAACGATCACCAGCTTCTTCAAGCACCTTGACAGCTTCTTTGTGAGAAATACTGTAGCAACGAGTCTGGGCCAAGTTGCCTTCAATCACTTGATCTATACGGAGTATCAATATTCGGGCTAAAATCGCGCATCAATTTCGGAAAGGCAATATATATTGCCAAAAAAGGCGCAGGGTTACTCCTTTTGTTAACATACAACTTCGGATTTCTGATATTAAAGAGCTCTTCAAAACAATTTTAGCGGCAATTGGTTGTTGAAGATTCCCTCGTTTTAAAGAGGCTGACAAAATTTGATCAAATGAATCTCGCTTTCAATAAAGCGAAATACATTCCGACTAACTTTTAACTCAAATTAAGTTTTCGAAAATTCTCAAGAGTTTCTAAGCTCTTCAAAATTTTGTAGAAGACCGTTTGTGGTTGCCATCTAATATTCGATTTAAATGTGACAGAACTAGATGATTTTTTGCGTAATCGAAGAGCATGTTCGAAGTGGTTATTATATTCTATTCACATAACATTTTTCTGTCGGGTATTTCACGTTTTCATGTAGCTAATTGTTAAAGACTTTACTCAAATTGTTCGTACAGTAGTCTCCGCATAGATACTCCATCGTTTATTGAAGACAACATTTCTACAAGACCACTAGTTGACTGGAATTGGCGAGGGCACGCACCAATCTATGCAGCCACCCCAAAGGGCGGTCAGCTTGAGGCGGCGAAAAGTCCCTCAACTTACGCAAGGGGTAACCCTCGACTTCCAACGTTGATATCTTTCTTGGCAAGCGACATGGTCCCTTAAATAGGCAGGGAGCGCTCCAGTGACAGTTGAGTAATTTGCTAGAGATATGGATATTCAACGTTACTAAACGGGGTTCAATTGTCAGTAATTGGTTAAATAGATAGAAGAGACTTCGATAAGGCCATCGGTAGTGAGAACAACGCCGATTCGTGTTCTGATATTCCGCTGTGCTCAAGGGGAAAACCAGATGCGTACGAAAGGGACATAATTCGAACGGTTATAGGACATATATATTATCTCATTTCCATTTATCCACATTCTAATCATATTTACCACTCATTTCCTGTGTCAAATACAATTCACCTTCATTTGTAACAACAATTGAATAAATTGTCAAAATTTACATTATCATACTGTACTCCTGAAACGATTATTATGACACAGATCTATATGTTCTGATAGCCCTAATTCCATACAACAACCAAAAGTCACCATAGCGCATGAAATCTTAGTACAAGGAGTAGTTAGGAGAAATGATGTAGCACACTGCATGCGATGTCATCTGATCGGTTATCAGTGCACTAGAGGAGTTGAGACTTGCACAGAATTGCAGAAAAAGCTTTGTGTACCCCGTCCATTGACCACCTCCCCAAGCACCTCCAATGTGAATAAGTGCAGAAGGTTCTGAAGTTTCATGATTACATGAGAGACCTTATCTGCCACCTTTTTCTGATAGGTATCATTCTTTAATACCTATTGTAATAAAGTCTATTCTGTTAAGTTTCTTTCGGTGCGTGGCTCATTTTGAATTATTTATAGTTGATTTATGGAGAGAGGAACGGATACTCCAAAACAATGAGAGCCTGATACCTCAACAATGTTTTCAAAAGACGTGTTATCACATTGACTGTGGAACAGGTAATGTATATTCTAAGAAAATTCGTTATCCACAATGTCATTTCTTGTTTTATAGCACTGTAAGCACCGAGAGTTGGCAATGACTGTGATTTTCGGGAGTGTGTTATGAGAAAGTGGCATCAGCTCTCAGCAAGAGAAGTGAACAATCGTAGACTGTCGTGGGCCTTCTATGTGTAGAAGTTGTAAGAAGAAATAAGCCTGAATGGAAGTCTGAGGGATAGCTTTTCAACAGCGGTGATCAGATTTCATTCGCATATTCTAGTAAAAAAGTGTAGTAAAACTTTCTGGTAGAAGTGGAGAACATTAACTAGGTAATTCAAGCACGTTAAGTGAGTCGAACAAATCATCATCGAGCGTTGCAAGTGGAAAGTGTACCTCAGCAACCTTCGAATTGACACTCTTCCTTTGCTGACATGAGCCGTGTTCTCGAAGGGACCCCGAGAGGCGTGTGTCGAATGCTATAGTTGACTACCGAAGAGGATGCCCGAAAGGCTTGAGCTCGTGCCATATGCGAGGAGTAGCCTATGTAAGATGCATGTTTGCCCGACATGTTCAAATTCCCTTCAGAAAAATGTGGCTGTAAGCGTTCAGCCTTCGACATAGGATTTGTACTGCATAAGTTGAGAGTTCAACTCCTTTTCGCTCCTTTTCCCATTATGTATATAGTTTAATTATGTACAGTAATATAAAAAATATAGTTTATGAATTTAATTTATAGATAGGAGGATGCTCACTGTTTTTCATTGTC